GTTGGCCGCGGGATCTTGGGTCATGGCCTGTCGGATCCGATCTTTGAAATCGGACCTAGGCTCACTTCCCGTGAGGGTGGCCAACTCCGGTTTGCGGGAGAGAGCGTCTGCGACCACGTTTGCCTTGCCGGGCTTGTACTCTAGCGTGTAGTCGAACTCCGCAAGGAAGTCCTGATGTCACTGAATTCATCTTCAATTGTGGTAAGATAACCCCATGCTCTAATTAAATTCTACACATATATAACACATATACATAGGCTAGAATATATCACAATAAACGATCTCCTAATAAAGTAATTTCCACAACCCGTTTAGGGTTTCCAACATGTGGCAGTATTAACAGAAAATAAAAATGATCAGAAATATAAACTAAACATTTTCACAATTGTGATCCAAAATTTATCTTCTTCAAATATATATATATATATGGTCCCTAGTGTCACGGGCCTAGGGTTAGATTAGGCTGATTCGTGAGGTAACTTGGTCTGTGGGGAGATCTTAGGGCGATCCGAACGTGCTGTGGACGTGTAAGGATGCCGAGAAGCCCAACTAAGCCTTCTCAAGGACTTGGTCCGAGAGATTGTGGGTGGTTCGAAGAGAAAAGGTCGAGAGGTCCGAGAGAATGCGAGGGGAAGAACGCCGACGGTACGGCGGGGTTATTTTATTGATAATGAAAGGGAAACAAGAGAGCTACGGCGTCCCGGTACAGTGGAGGTCCAAGCGGCGGTGGTTTGTAAGCCACCGACGAGTTGGCCGGAAAAGAGAACGAGACGGCGCCAAAAAGGGAGCTTTCGAACTAAGGAAGAGATGAGGGAGTAATGAACTAAGTTTCATGTTCGGCCAGCCTTAGGGTTTTATTGAGTTTAGGCTTAATAACCGAAAAGGAAACTTTACATTTCGTTCCCTTAATTAACTCCATTCGATCCTACTTGCCCCAAATGCTAAGGAAAAGTCTAGAAACTACCTAAAATGGAAAAGGAAACATTCCTAGGTGATCTAATGGGCCATGGGCCGAGACTTGGCCATGAAACAAAGCCTCGGACACGTCCATTAACTTGTCATGAACCATGGACAAGGTTTTGGGCCAATCTCGGTCATGGGATGGTCCGAACGTGGTCTGGGCTTGGACGTGGCTGGGACGCGAGCTGGAGGGTGCCAAGAGGTCTGGGTGAGTGGTCCGTGTCCGTCCTTGGTCCTGGGCCAGAGTTGTCCCGTGCTGAAGCTTCTCAGGTATGTCCGCAAGAAGTTGTTGGGCTGGCCGCTAAGTGCTGGACTGGTGTGGGATTCCTCGGACGCGTGCGAAGCAGAGTGTCGAGCTGGCCGAGACTTGCTGAGCGGGTCCGACGTTCCTCGAGCTGTGCGACACGTTTTCTCGGACGCGTACGGGATTTCTCGGTAGCGTGCGAGCTGCCTTGGTTCCGACTGTCCTTGAACGTACCTGTACACAGGGATGAACGAGAAAAATGGAATGGACACGGGAAATGAAAAATTACCCATTTTTCCTCCTGACATGCTCCCCCACTTGAACTCGGGACGTCCTCGTCACGTCTTTAGGCCTCGGTTAGTTGTGATTGACATTGAACTCGCGGATCATGTCCGCGAATTGCCAAAGGTCGTCCTCCTTTTCCCAAGTGTTCTGGGAGTCGGGCAGCCCCTTCCACTTGATGTAGTACTCTCGGTACCTAGTTCCTTGCTTGCTTATTGGTCGGCGGTCCAAGATCATCTCGACCTCCTTTGTGTATTGCGTCGTGGAAGGGATTGGAGCTCTCATAGACCTGTTTCTAGCATTATCCGAAGGGTCGGCTTTGTAAGGCTTAAGAAGACTTACATGGAACACGGGGTGAATCTTGATTCTCTCCGGGAGTTGGAGTTTGTAAGCCATTTTCCCGATCTTCTCGATGATGGGGTATGGTCCATCGAACTTCCTTGTGAGCCCTCGGTGTAGAGTTCTCATCTTGAGGAAGTGATGAGGGATGATTTTGACCATGACTTGGTCTCCTACATTGTACTCCATTGGTCTCCTCTTCTTGTCCGCGAACTTCTTCATCCTTGCAGCCGCTTTGTGCAACCAAATCCAAGTTTGGTCGGTTTCCTCTTGCCATGCTCTTGCAAAGGTGTGGGCTGCTGGACTAGGGCCATCATAGGTGAGGGATAGACTGCTGGGAGTGGTCGGTTGATGTCCCATCACAATCTCGAAGGGAGACTTGCCGGTTGACTCGCTCTTGTGGAGATTGTGTGAGAATTGCGCCATGCTCAAGTGTTGAGACCAGTCTTCTTGGTGGGCCGAGACGTAATGCCTTAGGTAGAGCTCCAAAAGGGAGTTGATCCTCTCTGTTTGGCCGTCGGTCTCGGGGTGGAAGGTTGTATAGAAGCGGAGTTGAGTCCCCATGAGTCGGAACAACTCCGTCCAAAACTTGCTAGTGAAGTGACCGTCTCGGTCACTAATGATGGACCGAGGTAGCCCCCAAAGCTTGACCACATGGGTGAAGAAGGCTCGAGCCACTTCGTCGGCGGGGCATTGCTTAGATAGAGAGATGAATGTCCCGTACTTACTAAACCTGTCCACAACTACAAAGATAGCTCCAAAACCGTTAGAGTTAGGTAAAGTGGTAATGAAATCCATCGATACCGATTGCCATGGATGGTCCGCGATGGGGAGAGGCTTGAGAAGGCCTGCTGGTCGTTTTTGCTCGATCTTGTCTTGTTGACAAACGAGACAAGTCTCCACATAAGCCTCAATGTCGTTCTTCATCTTCGGCCAATAGTAGAGCTCGGTGACTAGGGCAAGTGTTCGCTTTTCTCCTGGATGTCCAGCCCATATGGAGTCGTGTGACTCCTTTAGGTTCTCCCTCCTTAGTTCCTCGCTCTTTGGGACATACAACCTGCGTCCACGAGAATAGACAAGACCATCTTTTTCCCAAAACTTACGGGTTTAGTGTTGTCGGACGAGCTGGAGGAGGTGGTTGGCCGCGGGATCTTGGGTCATGGCCTGTCGGATCCGATCTTTGAAATCGGACCTAGGCTCACTTCCCGTGAGGGTGGCCAACTCCGGTTTGCGGGAGAGAGCGTCTGCGACCACGTTGGCCTTGCCGGGCTTGTACTCTAGCGTATAGTCGAACTCCGCAAGGAAGTCCTGCCATCGGGCTTGCTTAGGGCTGAGCTTCTTCTGCGTTTGGAAGTAGCTCGTTGCCACATTGTCGGTCTTGATCACGAATGATGACCCGAGAAGGTAGTGCCTCCACGTCCGAAGGCAGTGGATGATGGCCGTCATCTCCTTTTCTTGGACGGTGTACTTCTTCTCGGCGTCATTGAGCTTCCTGCTCTCGTAGGCTATGGGATGTCCTTCCTGCATAAGAACACCACCAATTGCAAAGTCGGAGGCATCGGAATGTACCTCGAATGGCTTGCCAATGTCGGGCAAGACCATGATGGGTTCTTCGGATACAAGGGTCCGAAGACGGTCGAAGGCGGCCTGGCATTGTTCTGTCCATTGCCACTTCCTGTCCTTCTTCAACATGTCCGAGAGAGGGGCTGCTATCGAGGAGTAACCGAGGATGAACCTTCGGTAGTAGTTGACCAA